AGCGGAGAGGAAGCAATCTATAATCCTATGACTAGGTCTTTTAGTGAACCTGTGCTTCTGGACTGTAACTTCACTGATACTTCTGAGTTTTCTGCTTGTTTTTCTCCTACTTGCTTAAGTCATACAAGATGGCTAAGGCTTAAGTCATACAAGCGCAGAGCAAATTGCTGCTTGTTACTCTACTTTTGGGGGCAGCAGTTTGTCCTGTGACTTCACTTCTCTTATGGATCTAAGAAGAGTTAATTTTTTCAGTTTGTTCAGCTTTTTACTTGTTAGGACATAGTAGAAACTTTAAGCCCCTCACATGTAGAACAAGAAGCTGAAAGTCTTATAGTATTTGTTTTTTGAATGATATTTTAGCTGATTATAGAATTCTAGGTTGATAGTTATTTTCTTTCAGTCCTTAAAGATGATGCTTCAATGTCTTCTATCTTTCATTGTTTCTGAGAAGTACATTGTCATTTTGTCTGTTTCTATGTACATAATGTTGCTTTGTTCCAGTTGCCTTTAAATTTTTAAATCATTGGTTTCAAGCAATTTTTTTATTGTATGTCCTGGCATAATTTTCTTCATGTGTCTTGTGCTTGGATTTCACTGAGGTTCTTCGATTTGTGGGTTTGTAGTTTTCATCAAATTTGAAAATTTCTCATCCCTTTCTTCAAAGTAATTTCTTCACGTACTTTTTGTCTGTCCTCTCTCACCTCATTTGGGGACTCAAATTATCATTAGGCTACTTTAAGTTCTGTCAAAGCTCGTTGACATCTTGTAATATTTTTCCAGCACCCTCCCCCAGTTTCTATGTCTCTAACTGTCCTTTCTTCTGCACTGTTGAATCTGCTGTTAATACCACTTAGTGTATTTTCATCCCTGACATAGTATTTTTCATCTACAGAAGTTTGATTTACATTTAACATGCTAAATCTTTCTCTACACTCTTAAATATAATGTAATAATTTCATAATGTATGATTTGATTTGATGAAAACTAAAAACTCTCATAACTAATGTCTGTTTATACTATTTTTTCTGTAATTCCTGGGCTGTTTTTACTGTTTCTTCGATTTTGAATTTCATTTTCCTGCTTCTCTGCAGGTCTGTTAATATTTAGAGACGAGACAGTGTGAAATTTTACCTTCTTATAGGCTGGATGTTTTTGTATTCCTAAAACTCTTGAGCTTTCTTCTAAAACAAAGACATCTGGAAACAGTTTAATCCTCTTGAGTCTTGCTTCTCAGCCTTGATAGGCCAGATCAGAGAAATCATTCTCTTATTTTTTTCCCCACTAATGAGGCAAAATACTTCATAGCAGTCTAACCAAAGCTCTATATTTTTCATGGTTTTCCACTTTTTCTGGTGGGAACACGTCCAAGGATTTTTTTTCTGTTCCTTTTCGGTGATTTTGCTCTACTTCCACTCTCCATCTCTGGTGAGAACCTTCCTTACCAGATGCACTGGTGCACTGAGCAGAATACTCAGGGAAACCCTCTGTAGATCTTTGGGGTGGTTTGTGCAGCCCTGTCCTAATACTCTGCTCTCCAGTCTCATGCTATCTTGGCTTCCCAGGCTCCCAACTCCTTTTGAACTAAAGGAGGCCTTTCCTTGTGTTGTAGCCTGGAAACTCTCACCAGGCAATTAAAGTGGGGTCAATATGGGGGCTCACCTTACCTGTTTCTCATCTCTCAGAAATTACTTTCTTGTCCTGCCTGACACCCAATCAATGGAAACAATTGCTCCATATATTTTTGTGTGTTAAGTAGTTTCTGGTAAGAATTACTCCATATTGGCTGCAAGTAAAAGTCGCTCACCAGAAATAAATCTGCTGTGATCATCTGTCAGGTTTCTGTGCCTCTTATTTCCAGAAGCAGCATTATTAGCTCCCTAAACCTCTTAAAAACAAAATCATTTTGTTCTTGTTTATTAAGAGAATGCTTTTCTAGGGCAGTGATTGGGACCTTCCTTTCATCTACAATATACTCAAGGGATACAACTACATAGTATCATTAACAGTGGCTCTCAACTGCAATGATTCTCAAGGAAATGGGGCATTCATGTGTGGCCTGAAAATAACCATTAGTGCTTCTGAGATGAAGAGTATTTTATTCTTTTTATTAAGAATCTTTATAATCTTTTTTTAAATTGGGAATAGGCTTTAAATATGATCAACTTTTTGGCATCTAATAATACTTGAGTTTCTACTGATGTAGCATTTCCTCATATTAAGCCTACACATGGTCCTAAAATAAAATGAGCTTGGGCATATTACTTTTATTTCTAAATGCCACAAGCTAGTGTTTAAGATTTTTTTCCTTTTTCTTTACTGAGATGGAGTCTCACTCTGTCATCCAGGTGGAGTGCAGTGACACCATCTCGGCTCACTGCAACTTCCTCTTCCCAGGTTCAAGCGATTCTCGTGCCTCAGCCTCCCTGAGTAGCTGGGATTACAGGTGCCCACCACCGCACTCAGCTAACTTTTGTATTTTTAGTAGAGACGAGGTTTTGCCATGTTGGCCAGGCTAGTTTTGAACTCCTGACCTCAGGTGTTCAGCCCACCCTGGCCTCCCAAAGTGGTGGGATTACAGGTGTGAGCCACTGCACCCAGCTGTGTTTAAGATTTTCAAATGCACGTGCACAAGAAAGAACAATCAAAGTTTTCCATTTTTAGTAATCTACTTCGCATTTTGTGACCTTTGATCACAACAACAGGAACTCCTTTCTTGTTATACAAAAGCGTAATTTATTGGAAAGATAGAGTTTACATAACAGCAGAGAAGGTCGATGAACCAGATTCAGAAAGACACATGGAGCACTTTAGCTTCTCATCTTCAACCTCAATCATTTTCTTTGCATTATTTCAAAGAATTCATCTAATTAGCTTAGTTTGGGTTTCATCCTCATTCCAAAGTCAAGGAAAGTAGCTGACAATCTCATCAAAGCTCTATACAATTGCAGATGAGTTAATTCCCTAAAAGTTACTGACGACGTGCTACCACTAGAAAAAAAGGAAATGGAGGCAAAACAGATAAAAATCAAGACAGTCGTTGGTTAAACGGTATGTCTTAATTTTTCCATGCTCAGAAATAGGAAAATTAAAAGCTACCTTAAATTAGAAATGACTAAGTGCACAGTTTCCTCAGGTACATTTAGTGAGTTTTTGTAGAGTCCTTTCTCAATTTCTTCCCAATTATTGTTCTATTCAAATTTCTCACCTCTAAAAGACTCAACTTTAAAGATAGCTATAATTGATCACATCCATATCAAATAAGCAATAACTACTTTGGTCCATGTCCCCTCACTCCCAGATTTTAACCTATATACCAAGTGCACCTATGTGTCTCCTCATTTTGAGTTCAGGCTCACTAAATTTTAAAGACTTCAGACCTCAAATAGGCAGTTTATAAAAGTCACCCTTGTCTGCCTCAACATATAGAAATTTTTCTTTACTGTTGGTGACCTGTTACTCAGACTTTTTGCCAAGCGATACAGCATAGTGTTTGGGAGTGTGAAGTTTCAAGTCCAGCTGATTTAGGTTTCCTGCCCTGCCCTGCTCTTTTTCTTAGCTGTGTAAACTTGGCCTGTTTACTTTTCGTCCTTTAGTTCATTCATTCCTCTCTAAAATTTAGACACCAAGGAAACATTATTAGAACCTGAAATTTCGCCCTTAGTTATTTTGAGAAGTCTCTTTTTATTTGAGTATTCTTGAACTGTTTTAGGGTCTTCAAAAATTATTTTGCTTGTTAACTCTGTTTTCATCCTATTAAAGGTCCATGAAGTAAGCATAAAAAGAAATCAACACAGGCCAAGTGGACTGAGCACCAGGATACAAGTTCTGGTCCCAGCTCTATCATTACAGGTTTGCATTTTTGGGCAAACTAGTTTTCTGTTAAAGTATCAACAAAAGATGGAGTCTTGAGCACATTAACGGTTTTCAAAGCATAATCATATAGAAATGCCTGTGTTATACCACCAATAAAACTGAACAATGACCCTTTCCATCAATACCAAACAATAAGTTTTGGACAGAATATGTTCAACTTGTTTTTTTCTCCTGTATATTCTTCAAATATACAGACTGCTTATGTTTTTAAAGACCCCAAACATGTCACTATTCTGCCTAGTTTATCCATTTTTTTTAAAATACAGCATACACTCATTTTTCGCTAGCAAAACTGCTTAGGATGGCACTTGATACACTAACATAATGTCTTTTAGTAAAGCAATGATGCTCAGAGTAGTCTCAGGAAATCCGCAAGCTCAGTAAATCTGAAAAGGACTGCAGGTGATCTTGTAACCACCCATCCAATCGATTTATGTAGTGTTCTACGGCCCTAATTAAAAAACCAAGAAAACCTTAGCACTAAAGTCCAAAGGGGACTGCCCAGCTCAGTCTCGGTCTTCAATTTTGCATCTGGGGAAAAAAGAAACAGAAAAGGGAAATGCTGCCTCCTTGGCTCTGGGAGTGGTGTCAGGAGCGGGGCCCACTGAGGAGCGATTTCAATTACAGGGTCGGACAAGGCCGTCTCGGGCCCCTTGCTGTGTCCGCACTCACTGCCTCCTTCTCGAACATGCTAGGCCTTCTTTCTTTCCTAGGGGCCAGCGGCGCCTGCTGAGGGGTCTGGTTCAAGGTCTGGTTGACGCTCGGCTTCACGCCTCGGGCTCGCTTCTCCATCTTGCTCTGTTCTCTCAGACGCCCACCGCCTCCCCTTCTCCGCAGGCGGTCAAACGCCCCACCGACTCCCGCGAGACCGCGAGTCTAGCACTGCGCTTCTGGGGGCCGGAAGTGCCCGCCGGGGCGCCCAGACGCCTGGAGACGCTGCGGGCAGGCGCCTGCGTCATTCACGCGCGCCTCAGCGCGGTGCCGGAAGTTATGGAGGTAGGGCGGGTGACGGGCCAGGTAGCCCCGGGTCTGGGCAGGGAGTCAACCGCAGGCTGCGTGGTGCTCGGCGACCTGGAGTGGGTGGGCGAGCACGCGCCTGCGGTGGCTGGCGGTCCCCGCGCTGGAACGTCGCGGCCCCGGCCCGTGCGGCGGTATCGGCTCTCAGCCCTGCTAGACGCCGGGCGGGCCCTATCGGCCTCCCTGTGCCAGGCTCGGTGTGTCTGCTGCCCCCTGGCCCTGAGCTGAAACGCGGCGGACTGTCTGGGAGGGCTGTGCGCGGTGGCACGGGGGCCGAAGGCCGCAGGCCGGTCTCTCACCTGACCGTGGCCTCGTTCCTGGAAGCGCAGTTTCCTAGCCACTGCCTGACAGTAAATTTGTGTTCATCGCTTTTAGACCGTTTGAGTAACAGTATAAAACTCGTCACGACTGCCTCACCGACCTCGTGTCAGGAGATCTGGTTGTATGTGGTTGCCTCATAATAATTTTTTTTCTTCCCTGAGGCAATTAAATATCAAACACCTATCATCAGCAGTAACAACAGCGGAGCCGGGCGTGGTGGCGTCTGTGGCCCCAGCATCTCGGGAGGCTCAGGGAGAAGGATCACTTTAGCCCGGGAGATGGAGACTGCAATGAGCTGAGATCGCGCCACTGCACCCCTGTCTGGGTGACAGCGAGACCCCATCTCCAAAATAGTGATAATGATAACTACCATTTTTGAGTACCATGTGCTAGACGCTTTTCCTGTATTATCTCATTACTGCAGCCATGTAAGATGCAGTCTGGCACCGTTTTATTTCAGTTAGTGCTGAGACTCGGATATGTTAAGTAACTTTTCCAAGGCAAGAGGTAGTCAGAGGCCGAGGAATGATTCAAATTTAAGTCTAGCCCCAAAGCACCAGCCCAGTGTGGTCTTCACAGTTCTCGCCCCATAGGACCTAATTACAGGCAACAGTCGCCACAGTTAATGCACATTTCTTTAGTGATGCCTTAACTGTTAGGGCCTGCTAGGATTGTTAGAAAACCAGGGATGAGTGTGGGAAAGTGCAACATCTGGGGAACTGGAAGAGCAAACAGGGTAATTGATATTGAGCAGGACAAGGGAACTGAAACTGATCAGTTTCCAGGTTAGGAGGCTGCCCAGAGTTATTGGTGACTGTCACAAAACAGTCACCCCTTAACTCGAAACGCCAAAATAAAAGAGCCTCGGTTCAGCTTTAGATCCTGAATTTGACTTCTTTGCAGGTTTATACGATGGTGTTAGTGTCATGTGGGATAATTTTGAGGATTTTGATTTAATTTAGTTCTCCGAAAATTTTGGAAAACCAGTACGGCTTGCTAATTTTTACATGGCAGAGGAGGCTAAACTTTACCTCTGCCCATCTTAGCTCGGAGTGACACCTTTAACAAAAGAAAAGTTAACAAGAAAAAAGTTTATTAATGCACAGAGTGCACATCACAAGGGTTAAACCTCAATGAAAGATAACTTGAAATGGTGGCTTAGAACTACATTTGTATACCATCTTCAACAAAGAACTATAGATTTGCAGAGAAATGACACAGTAAAACAGTTTTAGGCTTTAAAGGGCAGGAAACTGGGAAGGTAGATACATGTTTGGAAACTAAAGGAGTAAGAATTGTCTGTAGATTCCTCTGGTGCCTTCTCTGGTCTGTTAAGAGTCTAAAGTTACCTCCAGTAAAGAATTTATATCCTGTCTTTGGGCGGAAGAGGGGGAGGATAGAGAGAACTTTTCCTTCATTTGCTGCCTCTTGTCTTCATCTCAGATTTTTTTTTTATATCAGAGAGGCGTGTTTTGTGATGACGTTGTGGTTTTCTTAGCACCGTTTAGGGAGTCAGAGGGATTCGGGTTTCTTTTTCTTTTTTCTTTGCTTCTTTTTCATATGCCTTGATGTCTGCTTTTCCATTCCCCATTTAAAGAATTGCTTATTTTGATAACTCTGGGATAGTGAAGGAATGCTCAGAGGAATAATGCCCTGTTCATAAAACACACTGAGCTTCCGTGAACTCGTATCTTTTTTTGTTTTTTGTTTTGTTTTGTTTTTAAAAGTAAAGTGAAAGCAAGTTTAAGAAAAGGAATAGAGTGGCTACCGCATAGAGCAGTCTGCAAATATTATGATTGATCATTTTAACTCTTTAAACCTTTCTCATATTTGAGAGCATTTATGTACATATCTTTAATATTTAATCATAATGTTGTAATAATACAGCTCTCATGATATCCAGAAAGCATGTTAATAGTAACTACACCTGAGTTCATTCAGTTCTTAAGAGAGTTTTCTCGTGACTTAAATATATAATACTCTGCTTTTCTTTCTGTTAATCAGTGCCTTTGTTTTTTTTTTAGGTATTAATAGGGGCCCCTATTACCACATGTCTTTCTCCCCCGGTATATGATATAATTTGTAATCTTGGGTTTGAACTCAGAGAAAATTGTGACATCAGTAGCATTGTAACTCAGAATGGTGAGGTATGCTGGAAAACAATCACAGACTGTGTGAGCTACACAGAGTCAGGTTTGTGCTGTCTTTGTACTCCAAACTTTTGTGACTGTTCTGTTGAAAATGTCCTGACCTGTAAAATTCCCCTTTCTGACCACTGCTTCCTTTTATTAGATAATGTTATAGGCCTGACTCCAAGGAGAAAAGGAATTAATATGAAAAGAGAGGAGACGAGGCCAGAGAAGCATGGAAAAATTCATGGAAAGCTAGGCTAAGAAAACCACCTCTACAGAAGAGGTGTCAGGAGGAAGAGAGGAGCTGGTGGGCTGTTGATGATACAGATCTCAGGGCCTTGAGATGATTTTCTATAGGAGTCATATGAATTAAGGGTATAAAATGACCAGTAATAGATTATACAGTTATTTTAAATGTCTTCTAGGCATTCTTGCACACTTTAGAAATATGGGTGGGGAAATTTAATAATAGTTATAAAAATTACAAATGAACATACTCTGGCCTAGCAGTCCATTTTCAGGAATCTTTAAGACAGATACAGATATGAAAGTGGGTTTGTGCAAGGTTATCCTTTAATAAATTAACATAGCCAAACATCAAGCAATAGGGGTTTGGTTCAGTAAATTATGATAAATGCATATAATGGAATATTATGCAGTGGTAGAAAAGAATGAGGAGACTCTTCTGATACAGAAATCTCTGAGCTAAGTGGGAAAAAAACCAGGAAGGGCATGTATTTGTATTTACCCTTTGCTATTTCATTCATTCATTCATTCATTCATTCATTCATTCATTCGAGACGAAGTCTTGCTCTTGTCCCCCAGGCTGGAGTGTAATGGTGTGATCTTGGCTCACTACAACCTCTGCATCCCAAGTTCAAGCCATTTTCCTGCCTCAGCCTCCTGAGGAACTAGGATTACAGGCCTGCCACCACACCCAGCATTTTTAGTACAGATGGAGTTTCACTCTGTTGGCCAGGCTGGTCTCGAACTCCTGACCTCAGGTGATCTGCCTGCTTCGGCCTCCCAAAGTGCTGGAATTACAGGCGTGAGTCACCGTGCTTGGCCACCCTTTGCTATTTATTGATCATTAACCAAGTGGATGGTTAATCCCTAACTTAAAAAAAAAAAAAAAAAAAACTAAAACAACAGAAGCTTCATATAAAAAAATTAAAGCAACAAAAACTTTGTATTATAAATATGTTTTAAAATAATTCATTGTCATAAGAAATGTCAGTCTAATAATGTTAACTTAAAAAAAACCAGTTTACAAAATTGTATATAGAGAGTGAGCCTGGTTTAACTTTAAAAAAATCAGGTTACAAAATTGTATATACAATGTGAGCCTAGTTTCCTGTATATTTATGTACAGGTAAAGACATTGACAAAAATATTTTTTTCTTGTTTGAAACTTTTTGTATTTTCCAAATTCTCTACTGACAGTATATTTTTCTTTTATAATCTGATAAGCATTATATGATTTATTTCCAACAACATAAAAAGTTTATCCTGTGTTCAATGGTAAACTGATTGTTGATTTTGTGGAAGTTTTATAATTAAAGCATTTTCTTCTTTGATGATGTAGATGTTTTATATCACATGATATGAAGCTATGGTGCTAAAATTTGTTTTCTTATCCTTTAAGACCAGGGTCTGGATTACTGGGGAAGTGTGAGGCTGCTGGGCCCTGTGTGTGAAGCTGTCCATTCACATTTCTTATCTCTGACCAAGGGGCAGTTTGAAATTCAGTATGCACCATGGTTCCAGTGGACAAGTTTTCCACAGGTTTGGTTTTTGAACAACCTTTAGAAATAAAAAACTGTGCAAATACTACTTAGAGGACTTATTATTTGCCAATTTTAAAGGGGCCTCCTTCATCCCCAGGCCCTCCAACTGTGAAGAACTGTTGAGGGTTGCAAGAGAACCCTGGCTATTATGCAGGGTCTCCAAAGCCTGAGCTGAGAAACATCCCTTGGAACACAGGAATTCATTATCACAGGATTAGGGGTTGGAGAGCTAACACTTGGCACTTGGTGCTTATCCAGGGACAGAAGAAAAATTGACCACTTCAGAATAAGAGGCCCTGTGGAGAGGTATTGAGGTGTTCTAAGACATCTAAGACGGTGGGACCTGGAGACTAGAGCTGGGATACCTGGTTTGTTATGAGGAATTGAAGGGAGTATGGGTAATTTGGGGCCCAACCCAAAATTTTGTTTTGGTATGTTCTTGTGGTCAGTTTTTGGCACACTAAATGACCACAGTAAAGCAGTAGCTATAACAAGTCTAATTCTGCTTTGAATTTGGAGTGAAGGAATTATCGCATCCCTCTTGTACTAGCATTTTCAAGTGACAGGATGATCAGCCTTGTGTGTATCTGTTTGAGGACTCAGCCAAATCAAAAGGAGAAAAAGATGAGGTCAAAATGCTTGAGTTTTCCACTTAAATTATACCAGATTTGTTGCTTTCAATAAACATTTAAGTAACTTTCAAGGAATTCTTTAGCTATTAAAATATTTTTATGGATTCTTTAGGCAATATAATTATACAGAAAATGCCTACTTATCCCCTGAAAATAACTAAAATATGACAGTTGAAATCTTTAGAGGTTTGAATTTCAATAAATAATATTGTTACTTTGAGGAATAGTTTTAGATTGCACATCCTGATATGTGTTTTATTCTAAACAGTTATTTCCTGAAATATTTGAAGCCTTGAAAAGTCTACAATCTCCTGCTATTTCTCTTAGCTTAATGAAACTGACATCATGTCTAGAACGAGCCTTGGGTGATGTAAGTGTGAGATCTCTTTCATTATTGGACCATTAAATTGTCTGAATGAACATTTAATAAATGTTCATTAATAAACAATAAACTCTTTTACAGTTGCCCTCAGATTTCTTATTTTCCTTTAATATTAAAATCATTTGGTACAAATTTTTAATATTTGACTTTTGAATGATTATGAAATCAAAGGATTGGTGTCTAAGTATTTTTCTCCCCTCATTTGTATAAACAGTTGCTTCATGGATAATGTTTTTAATGTTTATTAGCTCATAATGCAATTGTTACACAATTTTTGTTTGAATTTTAGGTATTTTTACTGATTGGGAAGGAATGTCCCTTTCTTTTAAGAGATCTACTTGCATCTGAAGAGCTTGCTCAAATCTTTGGGCAGTCTGTGGTAAGCTTGCTCATCTAAACCCGTGGAGTATAACTGTTTTCATGCTGCTGATAAAGACATACCTGAGTCTGGGAAGAGAAAGAGGTTTAATTGGCTTTACAGTTCCACATGACTTGGGAGGCCTCAGAATCATGGCAGAAGGAGAAAGGCACTTCTTTCATGGCGGCAGCAAGAAGCAAAAGAGGAAGAAGCAAAAGTGGAAACCGCTGATAAACCCATCAGATCTCATGACACTTATTCACTATTCTGAGAATAGCACAGGAAAGACCAGCCCCTATGATTCAACTACTTCCCCTGGGTCCCTCCCACAACATGGGAGGATTTTGGAAGATACAATTCAAGTTGAGACTTGGGTGGGGATACCGCCAAACCATATAATGAAGTCAGTGCAAAACAGCAATTCACATATGCTGTGCTTTTTTTCCTTCCCAAACTGATGATGCTTTAGGAAAAAAATGTATCAGTGATTCAAGCTTATTCACCTACCCTTTCAAAATCACGCCTCCTCCAGCACGTAGAAAGCTTTCCTATCCTGGGTGTGAATAACTCTGGGGCACCACAGGGCCAATGTGAAGCATGTTGCCTCAATCAATTACATATTAATAACTATAATACCAAATCCAGAATACAACTTTAACTCTTTAAATGAGTGATAATACAGTTTTATTTGAAATCTTTAACGTGAAATTATGCTTTTTGCAACTATTTAAACTTAGAGTGGAAAAAAAATCAGGCATTAAAAAATAATACAGTTACATACTATATTAAAATCTCCTAATGGGCACATGATCAAGAGACTTAAGACTAATGAATAACCTTTAAGCAACTGAGTGAGGCAGGGTCAAGATGAAGAAACCCAGGAGAGCCTTGTGTGGAAGCTGTGCATGCCAAGTCAGGGAGCCACTAGATGATTTTTGGAGTAAAGAAATTTGTCTTCAGTGGAGCTTTTGCATTCTTTACTGTGGATCTTTACTCCTTGTCAGCTTAAAGATCATTTTCTTTTGTGGAAAGCATGGAGTGAATATAAAAACTGCAAACCTCTTGTTACACTGAATTCTTAAACACATTTTGTTTCTTTGATTTGTTCTTTGGTATTTGCCTGTATGTGATTGGCCTTCTGCCCACTTGTGGCCACTTCAGCTACCAGATACTTTTACTCGGCCACTGGCATTTATACATCTGATTGACCAGATGGTGTGAACCATGAGTATTTCACAAATTAATGGTAGAGCAAAAAGATCTCCTGAAGTTGCATAGAAGAACTGCTTGTTAAATGTTCCTACTTTGAGTAGAACCTGCTCTTGATCATTTCCACTTGCTGCTTTTGGGTCTCCTTGCTGAGGGAAGTTCAGAATGCATCCATATTCCCTCCTCAGCAGCATCTTCACATGCATGAAGACAGTGTTCACGTCTTTCTCGAGTCTTCTGGAGGCTCAACCATTCTTCCTTCTATGACATGGCTTTAAGTTCTTTTAGTCTTTGAGCATCTTCCATTTTTTTCTGAGTTTCTTCTAAGTATGGTGCCTCAAACCCAAAGCAGTTCTCTGGGAATGGCATGATTGCAGTCCATTAAGTAGGACCCCTGGTTTTGTGTTTTCCTCACTCTAGATGGTGGAGTGGGTCAGTGATGGGTTTCAAGTCAGACAGCTGGGAGGTGGAGGCTCAAGCCTGGAGCCATGCTGCTCTGTCATTTGCCCTACTGTCTCTGTTGAACCACACAGCTGCATGCTGCTTAATACAACAATAACTTTCTGCTTATATCATTATCTTCTTGCATTTTATTTAGATATTAGGCGCATTTGAAGAACTTTATTAACGCAGGATAGCCTGGGTCAGATCTTATCCCCCATACTGATTTTGTCACCTTCGAGACTTCGATTTCACCTTTCCATGCTTGTATTTTTTTCACCTGCATGCTGGGGATTATGGTAGTACCTTCTTCATAGGTTGTTCTTAGGATGAGTTGATGAATACATATAAAATGTGTCTGGCACATATTAAGCAGTCAATAAATGTTGGTTTTATTATTATTACTGCTACTTCCTAGCCTAAACTGTTGGCTTTGTCAGTTAAAAAGAAGAACACAAACATTATCTTCATATTATATTGTTTTATTCAATAATAATTAACTCTGTCATGATTTACTATCCTTAACTGGATTAGATGAATGTGCTAAAAGTCTTCGTTGGCTCTCCATGTGGTCTCAACCTGCGTAATATCTTATGGCATGGGTTTGCATCACCTGAAGAAATTCCTCCAAAGTAAGTTGCAAGTGAAGAAATTTTCTTGCTGTTTTGAATCTACCAAGGAGTCTTTTAAGTTTTGAATTTCGCAAGAAGGAAATATGTATTTTGTGAAAGATGAGTGAGTTTTGAGAGAGGATTTTGAAGATAAAATTGAATATTACTGATGTAGTCACTAGAGTGATAATAGGGTTATGGTTTCAGTGACTTGCATCCCAAAGGCAATTCAGAGGTGGCACCAGAAGGATGTTATGCCGTTCACGTCTCAGGTGGGTGGAAGACCCTGAGGTTTCCTCAGGGTCTTCATCAGAGTTTCTCTGGTGTTATTGTGCCTCACAACCATTGCACAACTTAATTCTATAGAATTGTGTGCATTATTATTATTATTTTTTTTGAGATAGAATTTTGCTCTGTCACCCAGGCTGGAGTGCGGTGCTGTGTTCTCAGCTCATTGCAACCTCTTCCTCCCAGGCTTAAGCAATCCACCCGCCTCAGCCCCCTGAGTAGCTGGAAGTACAGGCACGTGCCACTATTCCCACCTAACTTTTTTGTATTTTTTGTGGAGATAGGGTTTCACCTTATTGTCCAGACTGGTCTCAGACTCCTGAGCTCAAGTGGTCTGCCTGCCCCAGCCTCCCAAAGTGCTGGGATTACAGGCATGAGCCACATGCTCAGCCAGTTCCTTGAAATTCAATGGTGCTTTGCTTTCTTAATTTTAAATTTGTATTTTTCACAGTGAAGCTTTTTATAGGTATGACTGAGTACATTTTTGTAACAGATCTATGGTATTTCCCCTAGATACTGTTCAATGATGATACTGTTGACAGTAGGATTGGGTCAGTTACTGAAGAGTTACCTTCAAAACACTAAACTTACATTGGCACATCGCTCTTTCATAACTCTTAAAAACCTAGAGGATTTGGTTATTTTTCCTGGTAAGTACTACATTTTACATTTTTTCCTTAATGTAGTTTTGCATAGATATTTGCAAAGTCAGTAAACAGCATTGAGGTGTGTACTCGAGGTGGGGTGCAGTAGTTATTCTTCAGTGGTCAGATAGCTTTCAGAGTCGCTTGAAGAACCTCCTGCATTTTGCTACCCAAAGCCCTGTCTCCTCCCGCCATGTCCCGGGGTGGTTGTGGGGTTCATAGAGTTGCGGCTGTGTGAGTCCAGCTCTTTCTTCCTCAGATGTGCTATGAACAATAGTGGCCTCAGGCTATGGTAGGATGTATGTTTTCACCTCTGATATCTTTGTACTCATGATCGTTATGCCAGAAGTACTTGTAATATCAAGGGTCTTTTATACCTTCTGAAAATATATTTTACTTCTCTTGGTCATTGTACTCAGTTGGTCCACCCTGAGCTGTTGCCTGAATCACTGAAGAGATGTACATGCCCTCCTTTCTGAGGCTCTTGGTCAGGGCGACCCTGCTCTTTGATGAGTCCCCTGCAGCAGTGGCTACAGTTCAACTACCTAAAGTGATTGACTCATTGGCGTCACTCCCTCAGCATGTTCCCATCATTTTTCATTTGATTCGTATGATTGTGTTTAAAACTGTTTGTTATTTTGCAGATGTTACTTATGAGGTGCTTTCAGTATTAGAAGAAGTGATGACAAAATCTGCTTTTATATTAAAAATCATGTTACCATATTGGGAAGTTGCACTGATCAAGTTCAGGTCACAAAGGTAACTGAAGGGTGCATAGCATGGTGGTTTTCAGTGGTTGGAGGTCAGTCTTTCTTGATGCCCTTCACTTTTGTTGCTTTTTGCTGTTAGAGTAGAATTGAAGAGAAGCTGGACTGACTTTAGCAGACCTGAAAATAAAACACCTTCATAGAGTCACTTAAAGGACAGCCTGTGATTATATCTTAAACATTGTGTGTCAGCCTTTTACCAGTTGATATAATTATTTTTCGGGATGCACTTTTTAATATTTTCTGAAATTCTTAGAATGAGTGAAACATGTCCAGAATCATGAAACAAAGACAAACCAGCTTTTTCCTGACATTCTTTTTCTATTTCCTCAGGGGCAAACACATGTATGGTAGCCACCAGAAGGTCTAGTAAGCTGGTCTTTAGTTCTTTAAAGGATATTATCCTATTCATTCATTTTTATACTTTGAGAATCCACTGAAATCCTGGTGTTTGCATTTTTGTTTTTTCTTTTTAAGACTAGATCTCACTCTGTCCCCCAGGCTGAAGTGCAACGGAACCATCTCGCCTCACTGTAGGCTTGAGCTCCTGGGCTCATGCAGTCCTCCCACCTCAGCCTCCTGAGTAGCTAGGACTATAAGTGTGTATTACCATGCCTGGCTAATTTTGTACTTTTTCTAGAGATGAGGTCTTATTCCATTTCCCAGGCTGATCTTGAACTCCTGGGCTCAAGTGATCCTCCTGCCTCAGCCTCCCAAAGTGCTGGGATTACAGGAAAGAGCCACTGCACCCAGCCTCAGTATTTTTTAGAAGCAATGAAATGATTTAGAAAGTTCTCTGATGATGTTTTATTCTATAGAAGCTACTAAAAATGGTTCATCAAACATGAAAACACTGGAAAATGTTTTTAAAATCATTAGTAGATGAAACTGGTTGTGTGTGTGTGTGTGTGTGTGTGTGTGTGTGTGTGGTTTTTTTTTGTTTGTTTTTGTTTTTGTTTTGTTTTGTTTTGACACGAAGTCTCACTGTGTCACCCAGGCTGGAGTGCAATGGTGTGATCTCAGTTCATTTCATCCTCTGCCTCCTAGGTTTAAGTGATTCTTGTGCCTCAGCCTCCCAAGTAGCTGGAACTACAGGCATGCACCACCACGCCTGGCTGATTTTTGTATTTTTAGTAGAGGTGGGGTTTCGTCGTATTGTCCAGGCTGCTCTCAAACTCTTAGCCTCATGTGGTCTACCTGCCTCAGCCTCCCCAAGTGCTAGGACTACAGACATGAGCCACTGTGCCCAGCTGCTGCTTTTTGTTTCTTATATTAGCAAGTATTATCACTTCTCTTTGCCTTTGATATCTAGACTGCAGCAGTTACTGTGATGTTGGTGTCAATATTATTTTTGTTTTTTGCTTTTTTACTTAGAGACAGTTTTACTCTGTCACTCAAGCTAGAGTGTAGTAGCACAGTCATAGCTCACTCCAGCCTTTAACTCCTGGGTTTAAGCATTCCTGCTGCCTCAGCCTCCTAGGTAGCTAGGACTGGAGGCATGTGCCACCACACCTTGCTAATTTCTAAATTTTTTGTAGAGATGGAGTGTCCCTGGCTGGTCTTGAACTCCTGGCCTCAAGCGATCCTCCTGCTTTGAATTCCCTAAAATGCTGAGATTACAGGCATGAGCCACTACCTGGCCTAATATTTATTTTTGAAACATGGAGTTTTACCTATTTTCCCTTCAATTTCATAGGTTTGCTGACTGTGCCATATTGTTGCTGGCACAACTAGAGACTGGACTTAGGAATGTTTTTGCCACACTTAACAGATGTCCAAAAAGACTCCTGACTGCTGAGGTAAACTTGTTTTTATTATTGATTGTGATTGTTGTTGCTGTGTTAACAGTTTTCTGTGACCAGTTAAAAGGTTTTTAAAATTTTATTCTATTTAACATTAAAATGAATTTTTAAGCTAAGAAGTGGGGAATGCTTTACTATCATTTTAATAGGATTTATATTTATGTTATTTATTTTTTAATTTCTGTAATATTTCAAAACAGCCTTTTAAACTTATCGATGCCATGAAAGTAGTGGGTGCTGATTCCCTCTCTATCCATACTGATGGTGTGTCACTGTAACCGCATGAGATGGTTGGGTCCAGCCAGGAGGCCGAGGCCGACCAGTGGTTGATTCTGACCTTGGGAAAGTAATCAAAACCTTCTGAGCATGAGTTTCTCCATCTTACAAATGGGAGATGTGGGATTTAGAGATGATTTGGTTTAGTGCTAGCCCTGCAGCAGACCATGGAAGGCTTTGTCTATGTTTCTTGAGCCCCTCCATGCGTGCACACATGCATGCGCACACAGTTGTCTCAGAGTTCCCACATCAGCCCTGGTTGCCCTGTCTGAGGCAGGCATCTCTGAGCTTCCAGCCGACCTCCTCTGGCTCCTAGAATTTCTCATTTCTGCTTCTTTTTGGTAGTTATGGCCAGATCTGGCTGCTCATGACAGAGATCTGGAAATAGTATGGCTGCAGTGACTGAAATAGGATAGAAGTGCATTTCTGCTTTTCCTAAATGTGAGTAGCCCCCGCTGAGATGGCAGCGCCCCTGTCATCAGCACTCAGACCCGTCTGTGTCATCTTCCACTAATGAGGGCCAGGCCTTTCTCATGGAGCCTTCTTCCTCATGGCTCCAGCTGGCTGTGTCAGCCATCATATCTGCTTTCCAGCTAGCAGGAAAAGCAAAGATTGGAGCATGCCCCTCTCTAAGGACACTTCCTAGAGGTAGCATAGGCCATCCTCTTGGCCAGCGCACGTGCTGCCAGGGAGGCATGGAAGTGTTCCTGGGTGGGCGAGTGCCCAGCTCTCCACCAGACACTCTGTTGTGAAGGGTGGGGAGGTGCAGCCTCTCTACAACTCGGATTCTCATCTCCTCTAGGTTGGCTTTTGCTTTTTGCCCCTCTTTGTAAGCATTCCTCAATGCTTTGCTCTCAACCCCATCCTCTTGTTTTCTCTCCCTGAGAGATTTCATACAGCTCTGTGCCTTATATTTTCATCTCTGGGGGAATAGCAATTAGAAAATACTTTGAACCCAATGAAAATGAAACCCAAGACCTCTGTTCTGTTCCATTGGTCTATATCTCTGTTTTGGTACCAGTACCATGCTGTTTTGATTACTGTAGCCTTGTAGTATAGTTTGAAGTCCGGTAATGTGATGCCCCCCGCTTTGTTCTTTTTGCTTAGAATTGACTTGGCTATGCGGGCTCTCTTTTGGTTCCATATGAAGTTTAAGGTGGTTTTTTCCAGTTCTGCGAAGAAGGTCATTG